CAACTATGCCTAACTGAGGAAATATCAGATTTCATTGAATCTATCCTAAAACCTCTTGTCACCCAAAGAGCAAGTTTTGTTCAAGACACAAAAGACTTTCTACAAAAACTTAAAAACATAGACCACGTTTCCAGCAATACCCTCCTAGCCACTGTAGATGTTGCCAGCTTGTATACCAACATCCCACACCAGGTTGGCATCCAAACCTGCCTTACATATCTACAAGAGCAAGATTACAACTTAGACTACAGACTTAAGGATATTTTTGAACTTATGCACTTCATCCTCATGCACAACAACTTCACGTTCAATAAGCAACCCTTCCTCCAGACCATGGGCACTGCAATGGGCACCAAACTAGCCCCAGAATATAACAACCTTTTTATGGCCCACCTGGAAGAATTCCTCAAGAACTGCACCATCAAACCTATCCTATACCTAAGATATATAGGTATCATCTCCATCATTTGGACCTAAAACCTGCAATCTCTGATTGATTTCCATCACAAATTCAATAATCATCATCCCTCTATCAGACTATCTCTTGAATACTCCAGCACCAACATTTCCTTTTTAGACACTATGATCAATATCCAGAATGATAAAATACAGACCACTGTGTATGAGAAACCTATGGACCAGCATACATATCTACACAGAACCAGCAATCACCCTCAACACACCAAGAAAGCTGTAATATACAGCCAAGCCCTCCAGTACCACCGAATTTGCACTAAGGAGAACATCCGTGATTGTCATCTTGCAAATCTCAAAGGGCTTTCATCCAACAAGGACACTCCTCCAGAGAGAGAGATCACACTTTTGAAAGAGCCAGCTGGATACCATGTGAAGAACTGCTGCAGTACAAAAAGAAAATCCCCATGAATTGCACACCATTAATTATGATATACCATCCTTCCCTGGAGCCTATATGGGAAATCCTCAAACAATTGCAACCCATACTAGAAGACCCAATTCTTAAAGAGATCCTTCCAGAACCACCCATCCTCGCCTTTAAACAAGAATTGAACCTCATCAACCTCATCACCAAAAACAAACTTCCTGTGGCCCAAAACTCACTGAATGGATCCAGGCTATACCATGACAAGAAATGTAAAACCTGCCAACACATCTCCACCAATCCCACAATAACTACACCTCACAACAGAACCATCACCATTCCTGGATCTTACATCTGCATCTCCAGAAATGTGATACATCTCATCCTGTGCGCTAAATGCCCTGATAGAAACTATGTAGGAGAAACTAAACAACAACTGCGTACCAGTATGAACGCACACCGAAAATCTGTCAAAGACAGATACCAATACTGAATTGCCTGTGGGTGCACATTTCTCACAATTTCTCCAATCTTTCAGTTCTAATCCTCAAAGTGAACTTTATAAAACACCTTTCGTAGATGAGCCTGTGAACTTCACTTCATTAATCTACTGGATACAAAAAACCATGGACCAAATATAGACATTGGATTTATGGCACATTATAGCATGCTTGCCATCTGATAACTCCAGGTAACCTCTCTATGTTTTACCAGCCTATCACCAGATCAATGTTCTCACCTACTTGTCTTACACCTATTGTCTCCCATTGCCTCTGGTCCTCACTGCCACACATTTGCATTTTCACAGACCTGCATTTTGCATTTTGGCTTCTATTCCACCATGGAGAACACAAAAGACTAGCAGACTCTCCCTGTGCCTGAAGAAGGGTGTTTGTGCCCAAAAGCTTGCAAACAACAATTTTTTTCCAATTATTTAGTTGATCTAATAAAAGATATCACATTTACCGAAAGAATGCTGTGTGCCTTTTCTTCAGCCTCACTTTCAGAGGCTTACATACAGTTACATGACATGCAACTGGCAAGGAACAAAAAAGGCAATAACAAGCAATTTTACAAGTATGCCAGAAGTAAGAAGACCAGAGAAACCATAGGTCCCTTATGCAGTGCAGAAGGCAATCTGTTAATGGATTATGCAGAGATCTAGTTATGGATGATGCAGAGAAGCCTTCTAATGCCTTTTTCACTTCAGTCTTCACAAATAGGGGTGGTTATCACAGGATGAGTGCAGCTGGCAGCAAAGATGGGGAAGAGGACAAAGAACTTAGAGTAGAGGAAGAACAGGTTAGGGATTGCTTAGAGAAGATTGATGCTTTCAAGTCAGCAGGGCAAGATGGGATACACCCAAGGGTACTGAAGGAATTGGCTGAGGTAGTTTCAGAGCCATTGGCTATCCTCTTTCAGGACTCCTGGAGGTTGGGTGAGGCCTCAGATGATTAGAAAAAGGTAAATGTAGTACCCATCATTAAGAAAGTGCAGGAGGAGGATCCAGGGAATTACAGACCAGGCAACCTGACCTTGATACCTGGAAAGTTCATGGAGCAGGTCATCAAGGACTCTATTGTGAAGCCCCTAGGGGAGAACAAGGTTATCAGGAAGAACTAGCATGGATTCACTAAGAGCAAGTCATAGTGTGTGGATCACACACTTCAAGAAGGATGCGGATAGATTGGAGAGGGTCCAGCACAGAGTGATAAAAATGATTAGGGGCCTGGGAAGCAAGATTTAGAGGCCTGGGAAACAAGCAAGAGGAAAGGCTGAAAGAACTAGAGCTATTCAGTCTGAAGAAGAGAAGACTGAGGGGGGTGGGGGTGCGATAACTGAAGGACGCTTACAGAGAGAATGGAGATGGGCTTTTTTCTGTGGCTATAGGGGACAGGACTAGGAGCAATGGCCTGAAGCTGCAGCAGGGGAAACTTAGGATGGATAGTAGGAAGACCTTTTTGGCTACGATGGTGGTCAAGCATTGGGACAGGCTTCCTAGAGAACTTGTGGAATTGCCATTCTTGGAAATGTTCAAGAACAGGTTGGACGGACACTTGGCTGGGATGGTTTAGTCATGGATGATTCTGCCTTGACTAGATGGCTCATGAGGTCCCTTCCAGCTCTACTTTCCTATGGGCCTATGGCTACCAGGGTGATCCTGTTCACCCCACAGAACACATAAAGCCATAGCAGAACCTTTAAAACATGCTCAAAAGCCAAGCAGAGCTGTGTAGCTAGAAATAGGAAATAAAATATGACCAAAAATGTCATAAAGATCAGATCTTGAGATAAATATCCCCCCCTCAAACAGCCTCCTAACATTACCCAACTCATCATCACGGTCACGGCATCACCTTTGCCATCAAGAATCAGCTCTCAGTCAACTTATGGAGTTGTCTGTGGGCATTAACGAACATCTTATGACCCACCGTCTTAAGCTCAGCAACAACCAGTATGCCACTCTCATCACTATGTGCGCTCCAAGGCTTAATGTTGATGATGATGACGTCAAAGAACGGTTCTACTCCAACCTTGATCAGGTTCTGACTAATACTTGCAAGGTGGACAAGTTCATTTTCTGTCATGACTTCAGCGCCAGAGTTGGACATGACCTGGAGCTCTGGAATGGCACCATTGGGAAGAAAAGAGTATGAAAAGCCAACTCCAGTGGTAAGTTTCTGAGCATATACGCAGAGCACTGCCTTGTCATCACATCTTCTGACACAGTGACAAATACAAGACAACCTGGAGACACCCTCACTGTAAGCCCTGGCAGATCACTGGAAAATCTTTTGGGAAGATCACTGCACAAATGCCAGCATCCTTGTGTTACCAGCATTGAGTTAGTGAACCTCAAGCACCAACTTTGCTGGATGGGACATTGTGTGCAGATGTTTGACTCTCAACTCTCAAAACAAGTGCTCTATTCCCATCTTCATAATGGCCTGAGATCTTGCCATGATGGCTAGAGGAACTACTACAAGAACACATTGAAGGCGTATCTCAAGAAAATGGATGCTGACATCAAGAGCTGGGAGGAGCTAGCTGCCAACTGACCTCAATGGCACTGCAGCCTCAACCAATCAGCAGCCCATTTTGAGGTAAAATGTCTTGCCCTCAAAGCAGAGAAGATAGTGTGGAGGAAGGAAAAGGAGAGGAATCCCAGCCTGCAGCCTACTCTTCCCTGCAGAAAGACCTGCAACTTGTGCAGATGGATGTGTGGCTCAAGGATTGGACTCTTAAGTCACCTCAAGACCCATTAATGAGCCGTGGTGGAAATCATCATTAAATTGAAGGACTGCTATGACAATGCTACAGAATATGTTTTGGAACTGTATCTGTTTTCAGCCCAGCACGGCCATCCTGGCACATAAATGTGAGACCCCTGGGTTAAGTTTTAGAAAATTGAAGTAGCGTTCAAATCAGATGCATTGCATGAATTCCACTTATAGCAATACTTCTAAAATCTTAAAACAGTGAGGTATAGGCAACCCGTAAAGTTAAAATAGAAGAAGCTATATATCTTTGTTATTGAAATGATCCCTGCTGAGTAAATGTGACATTAGAATATGATGCATGATCTTTCAATTTAGCTACCTGTTTGCTAGCGTGGAAAGAAGTCACAATTCACATGCGTGATCATGCCAAAAATGGCTTGTAATTCAACAGGAACAGTCAAACCAACAATATAAGATGGTATTTTCCCTGCTTTGTCTGTGTATGCAAGGACATGCCTCTCAAGAATGCTTCATTCCTGGTTGGGATTATTATTATATTCCTGTTTATATGGGGCTGTCCATATGCGTCAGTTTAGAAATAGACACATCGCCCTAAATATGAAACTGAAGTGCTTCTTCAGTCGATGTCCTTGGGAGGCATAGGGCTCTGAAGCAGACTGTGAGACTGTCAAATCACAGAGGTCAGTGGAGTGACACAGGTGTTCAAATGGGATACGTCGGTGTTAATGAAAGTGAATTGCTCTATTTTCCCCTGCGGGTGAATATGCAAAAAGTGACCTGCTCCAAAGAGTTGTGCCACAGAATCTTGATTACTAAGAATTCAGGATCTCCTAAAGTTATTTTAACAAGACTATTTGTGTTTCCATGACAATTAGATATTCTATTGTGCTTAGACCCTTCTTTTTCTTTTCTTCTAGCTAAACACCACGTCAATGGAAACAGAATGGTTGAACCTTTCCCAGAGGGAACACAGATGGCTCTATTTGGTAAGATATCAAGTCTAAAAGAGAAGCACTAAACTGCATGAAGGTAACCTGTGCCAAAATCCTTGATTTCAGCATGAGTCCTTAGGGTTTCACAATCTGGACTGTAATTGCCATTCTTGAATTATCACACCCAACAGAAGCCAGGCACTGTTGATTTTGGTAGCAATCTATGTCCAAAAAGGTGTGTGCATGTATGTTTTCCCTGTTTATGACAAACAGAATATTTCATCCTTTTTGAAGTGTCTTGTATAAATACACTGTAGAAATTATTTATATTTGATTGTTCTTGTGACATAATTCATTGCTTTACGTATACATTTGCTGATGATTTGTGACTTGAGGCCTCAAGTCATCGAAGTCCCTTGGGTAAAGTCAAATCCGGACACAGGCTTGGGTGAACTGGGTGGGCGCCCCGAAAATGGTAATTTTTTCCCGTTGTCCAATTATTCTTATCATTATCTCTGGCGAAGGAGGGCCCGATACTAAAAGCTTGCCTGGGACTGCCAGGAGTCTGGGTATGGTACTGGGTAGAAAACTTTATCTACTCTATTTGCATAACTCTTCCTGTTGATTGGTCTCTTCCCTCTTTCATTACTAAAGACCAGACTCCAGTGTCTTTACTTACACTACTCTGTATCTTTGAACTTAAATAACTGCACTATATTTTCCTTAGCCAGGAGAGGAGAATATGCAAGCAGATACACTCTGCAGGAGATCTGGGCAAACTTTTTCAGCACAACTTTTTCCAGGCAAAAATGGTGATTTGGCAGCACCAGAATGTTTTGCAAATTGCTGGCAGCTTTACTCTCAGTTTAAAAAATAAGAAGCTGAAATATTTTCTTTTGACATTTTTTAAATGAATGTTTCCATTTTTCTGTTCAGAATTACTTTTTTTCTTAACATTTCCTTTATTTAAAAAACATCAGAACTGTTAAAAATACTTGAACTCAAAAAGCATCGTCTTAAATGTTCCTTCAGACCGAAGACAATTTTTAGCTGACCCATCGGGCAACCAGGGATAAAGATAAGTGGGACTGAGGGGAGGCAAGCAAGGTAGAGGGAAGATTTCTCCGTGAGATGGGGCAATGCTCTAGCTTGTGCTTCTGCTCCCAGTAGAGCAAAAGCTTTATTCAGTTAATAGTAGGTATAAGGAGCAATGGGTCAGCTTTTAAGATGAGGACTGAAGAGTGCTCTGGGCAATGCCTTGCCTGTGGCCTGCTGGCTAGAGTACTTCACTATGAAACTCCCTCCAAGTGAACCTACGTCCTCTGTTCCCTTGGCAAGTGCCCTTACCACTAGGACACTGGCTGAAATATAGGAGAGCCCTTGCTGTGCTACCCAGGTGCACTTCGGTTTGTCAGGCAGAAACAGAATCCCAAACTCTACATAAGTGCCACAACCTGCAGTTATGGGGATAAGTAAGTGGCATTTAGGCACATCAATTGAAATGGGGTTTAACCCTTAGCGGCTATTTCTGCCTGGCATGGTGTTGTTGGAGACAAGACTTTATTCTTTCATCCCAATTTTTTTTAGGATGATTAAAGGAAAAAACTAACTCTTTTGGTACTATCAGAGGAGCCTCTTCAACCTGACGCTTGAACCTAGTTTTTACAATGTTAAAAGTCCACTTTTTGTGGTCCTGTCTAAACTGCTTTAAAACACTTGGTTGTCAAAAGGGCCTTTTTCATCCCATACGGTAGTATATAAGGATTCAGCCATTTCAAAACCTCACTTCTATGCCTAAGATGGTCACAAATTTTAATCTGTCATAGTGCATCGGCTTCTCTATGTTCTTCCCCAGATTTTGAATTTTCTCAGAGGAATCCTCTTTACTTAGCTATAAAGGGAGCTTGTGCTATTTATCTGGACATGATGAAGCCCTTCAGAAAATCTAACAGATTTAACTTGTTGCCCATGGGAAATTGTGTAAGGGGCAATGAACCAGAAAACAGACTCTTTATCGCTGTATTAAGACATGTATTGAGCATTGTTATACTCTAACCAGAAAATTAATACATCTTGGTTTAAAAACATACTCCACTAAGACCACAACTGCCTGTGTAGTTTATCTGAGACCAGTTCTTAATGTAGAGATTTACAAAGCAGCAAGACGGGGTTCTGTTCTTACGTCCATTAAGGCTTGTTTCTTGGACTTGGCGTCATACTCTGATGTGTGTTGTTACAGTCTCTTTGGCCACATCCACGTGAGCGGGAATGTGCGATTTGTGGAGACACAAAACACATACGACACCCATGGATCCATTCGCTGCGCTGCATATTTGCAGCACAGCAGCAAAATTAGATACCAGGAAATCCTGGTATCTAAAAAACTGCAAACAAAAGCATGGCAGCGCACACGGCAGCAGCATGCACTGCCCGAAACTGGAGTCTGGCCAGCCAGAGCCATGCTCCAGCTGCCAGCCAGGCTCTGTGCACCCAGATCACCGCTGCTACAGCCTTGGGAGGCCCCCACGACCCCAGGTAAAGCTTTTGGGGCCACCCAGGAGCTGGCTCAGCCTCTGTACCCCACCTGGGGCAATTTGCCACATGCCAGAGCACACATGCAGGGGCGTTCCCTGGGGACAAGTAGCAGCAGCGCAACTATTTGCCACTGCTGTTTGTCCCCGGGGAAATGCAAGTGTGTGCTCATCTGGATGCACCCTTTGTGCTTCTCACTCCTTGCCCACTGTGTTCTGGAGGGGGCACTGCCTGATGCAGGCTCCCTGAAAGAGGACAAGAAAAGTTTATGTACTAGTGACTACAGCTTTTCAGGAATTGCTTCTGTATTCATATAACCAGCCCATCTTCCCATTGCCTCTCAGAGTTCTTTGTATTTCAGGACCCTGCGGGTGAGGGAACAGGAACTCAGGCAGTCCCTGCTAATGACGATGACATGAGAATGCTTCTGTAATCCATAGCGGGCTATGGACACAACTGTATTATAGGGATTGGTGCTTGGAACTAGAGGCAGGAAATCCTGTAAGTGTGACTGCCTCTAGGCAGGATTCAGATAAAACAATAGTTACAAGTAAGTAACACCTCGTTCGTAAACATATCTATAAAAGAAAAGGACAAAAATCCATATGATTTACAAGTGTAACCTACTTACAGTAAATATTCCAGGGGTGCAGATAGGTTTAGACCAGGGGCGGGCAATTATTTTGGGCGGAGGGCCGCTTACTGAGTTTTGGCAAGCCATTGAGGGCCTCATGACTGGCAGCCGCGGGCAGATAAATATTAATTTTCTATATTTTTAGGGGCCCCGTGGGCTGGATAGAATGGCCTGGCGGGCCGCATCTGGCCTGTGGGCTGCATTTGGCCCACCCCTGGTGTAGACTCGCTAGTAAAGTTAATAGTATGATAGTTTTTGCAGTCTTTAATGCAATTCTATACTGACTTGAAAAAGAATCCTTTTTACCCGATTGTTTAATAGGGCTAGATAACATAACTCTAGGCCCTGAAAAGGAGCCTCAGTGACACAAATGATTCTTTTGTATTTATTTTATGATACAACTTTCCACTTTGGCCTAGGTACAGTATGTGCTCAGGTGTATGTAACGTGGTGTAATTCCTGCACGTTGTCTCATTTTCAGAGTCTCTTAAAGTTTTTAAGGAGAGATGAGAAGATTAAACTATTTTTAAGTATTGCAGTTCCATTAAAACAGTTACTCTACCATGGCTCAGCTGTATCATGTGATACAGATGCTGTTCATTAGTATAAAGAAATGCTGTTATGTCTACAGCTATGGGATACTAGATTTCCAAGGTAACACAGTGGTGGAAGATCTATTCATGCTAACCTGTTGATTTAACTTGTATCAGTCAGTTAAAGCACACCCAGCGTGGTAACGCAGGAGATACAAAGATTCCTGCACGTAATCCCAGAGGAGTTGCAATGGAATCTTATGGAATCGTAGAACAAAATCATTATGACACTTGAAGCAAGAGGGAGAAATATGCCCAGCTGCTACAGGACAACAAAACTCATCCAATAAACTGCAGTTGAGACCGTTTTGCTCCTATTTCTTTGTCTGTAAATGTTTTCATAGATTCATAGATGTTAGGGTTGGAAGGGACCTCAATAGATCATCGAGTCCGACCCCCTGCATAGGCAGGAAAGAGTGCTGGGTCTAGATGACCCCAGCTAGATGGTCATCTAACCTCCTCTTGAAGACCCCCAGGGTAGGGGAGAGCACCCCCTCCCTTGGGAGCCCGTTCCAGACCTTGGCCACTCTAACCATGAAGAAGTTCTTCCTAATGTCCAATCTAAATCTGCTCTCTGCTAGCTTGTGGCCATTATTTCTTGTAACCCCCGGGGGCGCCTTGGTGAATAAATACTCACCAATTCCCTTCTGTGCCCCCGTGATGAACTTATAGGCAGCCACAAGGTTGCCTCTCAAGTATTTGTCGCCTTTTCTAGTATTGAAACATTTTTCCCATGAACAAGTTCTGTATTAAATGGTTCACTCTTGACATAACGTAGCTGAACAAAGGTTATGTTTGAAAAGCTACTAAGGTTTTAGAAAGAACTTAGTATAGGATCCCAAATTGGCATCAGGATATAGGTGTGTGCTGAAAAATGACAGGAGTCTTCAAACAACAAAGCAAGTGTTACATTCAACATGTGAACAGTTCCATTGACTTCAGGAGGACTACTCGCATATTTAAATGTATGCATCATTTAAAATAAAGTGCTGTATTGGGTCCAGAATTTTTTTGCTAGTTTCTCTAATTACCTACCATAACCTGAATTAACATGCTATATTTCTTCATAAATAACAATCCTATAAGCATCCAAAACATTTTGGTGCCAATATTTTCACTGTAGGCTATATGCTGATCCGTCTTTTCAAGAAAAAAAAAAGTTTTGCATGGTATGTGTGTGGATGGGCTCCCTTTTTGGTGCTTGTAGTGCACAGACCTTCTTAGGGTGAGGTTCAGATAGATAATTATCTTGCTTTCTGAATATGTGACCTTACCGTGTTGCATTTGCTTGATTG